TTCCACTGCATGTGATAATGTCATCATTTATTTTTAAATGGTTCTAAGTTGCAGCTTTAAATTTACTTCAAATCAAGCCCTATTTTAAAATTACTTTTAATAGGAAGAAATGAGTCAAGGACATACATAACCTACTATATTTGAAGGACTCAAACAAATACAAGCCTGGCTGTGAATTCCAAACTCTCACCAAAACAAAGAGATAAAAATATACCTAAAATATATTTTCCTCTGTTTAGTCCTTGGGGGGAAATGTCAAGTATTGCACTTTAAAATTACTTTCATCTAACATTTTAGTTCCAACTTTTTCCCCCTGAATTAATCTTTTTTTTCCCCCAGCAAACATAATTTTATGAATCCTTAACATTAAAAAAACTAGATTTTCTAATTCAACTTTGGAAAATTTGCTTTCCTCTACAGAGCTATTTTTAACAAATGGCATATTTACTTACAAAATTGGGAGATGGGGGCGTCCAGCTGAGGCACGTTCCCTCCCTTAGCGTTGAGTTTCTGGACTTGGGTCGGGGGCACTGGCTTATGTGACTGCCCAGTGGCCCGATACATGGCTTGGACCCACAAGATCCGATCTTGTTCGTCATCACTTGCAAATATCACGGTGTCTCCTTCTTTGACTGCATTAAAGAAGGCTCGGCCACCCTCTAACCCTGGAATAAAAGGGAATAAACACTACTAAGCTGAGCCACCATGTTCTGGGCAGAACCGCGCCCAAGAAAGGCCATTTCTACTGCTTTTCCTCAGGCCAGAGAAGGGAGGAGCAGTTTATCGGACTCTGAGATGGGAAGTCTGATACCCACTTGGCCACAGAGTGAAGCCATAATGTTAAAGAGACATTCTGAGACTGGCTCTTGTCTCTGTCTTTGTCTTCCTAGGGACAGAAGTGTCAAGCAGGCTGCCTACTGGTTGGGTAGATATCTGCCTATAAACATACTATTATTTTTCTTATCTTTGGAAACAAACAAACCACCACCACCACCACCACCACCACCACCACCACCAAAAAACCATCTCTTGACCCCACCTCTCCCTTCGGTTACTCCAATTATTCTCTTCACAACATAAGGGCAATCTGTACCCTGGATTCTTTTTCTTTTTCTTTTTTTCTTTTTTCTTTTAAATTTACATCCAAGTTAGTTAGCATATCGTGCAACAATGATTTCAGGAGTAGATTCCTTGATGCCCCTTACCCGTTTAGCCCATCCTCCCCGACACACCCCCTCCAGCAATCCTCTGTTTGTTCTCTATATTTAAGAGTCTCTTATGTTTTGTCCCCCTCCCTGTTTTTATATTATTCTTGCTTCCCTTCCCTTGTGTTCATCTGTTTTGTATCTTAAAGTCCTCATATGAGTGAAGTCATATGATTATTTGTCTTTCTCTGACTAATTTTGTTAGCGTAATATCCTCTAGTTACATCCAGGTAGTTGCAAATGGCAAGATTTCATTCTTTTTGATTGCCGAGTAATACTCCATTGTATATATATCACATCTTCTTTATCCATTCATCTGTCGATGGACATTTAGGCTCTTTCCATACTTTGGCTATTGTTGATAGTGCTGCTATAAACACTGGGGTGCATGTGCCCCTTCGAAACAGCATACCTGTATCCCTTGGGTAAATATCTAGTAGTGCAAATGCTGGGTATTAGGGTAGTTCTATTTTTAATTTTTTGAGGAACCTCCATACTGTTTTCCAGAGTGGCTGCACCAGCTTGCATTCCCACCAACCATGCAAAAGAGATCCTCTTTCTCCGCATCCTTGCCAACATCTGTTGTTTCCTGAGTTGTTAATGTTAGCCATACTGACCGTGGGTTCTTAAATTGTAGCCCACATGTGAATCCTGTGGGCATCTTGTTAGAAGGCAGCTTCTGATTTGGTAGGTCTGGGGTAGGAGCCTGAGATCCTGTATTCCTAACAAGCTCCCAGAGGATGGATGGTGTTGATCTGAGGACCACACCATCAGTAACAAAAGTCTTTCTCCTCCCATTCAGCTTTAAAGCTTCTCCAATAAGGCTGCTGCCCCATGGAAATTTGTCAAGGTCACCAATGACTTCCACATCACTGAATCCAAAGATCAGTTCAGAGTCTACATTTTATTCTATCCATCGACATATCAGCCACACTTGACACTCTATGCTCTTTGAAACGCTTTCTCCACTTGGTTCCAAGTCTCCCAATTTCCTCCTTCCTCCCTGACTGCTGCTTGTCAGTCTTGTTTGCTGGCTTCTCTTCCTCCTCCTGACTGGTGAATGGTGTAGCATCCTGGCGTTGAGTCCTTGGACCTCTTCTCCTCCTCCTCAATGATGCCTTCCAGTCTTAACACCATGAATATGCTCATGGTCCCTACATTTCTATCTTCACCCTGGACCGCTCCTGTGAACTGCAGACCTGGACATCTAATGGTTTCCTTGACTTCTTCACATGGATATCTGATAGACACTAGACACCCCAAGCTTATCATATGCAACAGTGAACTCCTGGTCCTTCTCCCAAACTCTTCTCCATCTCAGTAAAGCTGAGCTCCCCCCTCTAGCTTTTCAAGCCCTCAACCTTGGGATCCTTTCTGACTCCTCATTTTCTCACACTACCCACTTCCAATGGAATTCTGATGGCTCCGCCTTCAGAACATTATACCAAAATCTGACCCCTTCCTCCACCTCCAGGGCTTTCACTCTGGATCTAGTCATGCTCATCTCTCACCTGGGCTATTTTATTTTATTTTATTTATTTTTTATTTATTTATTTTTTTTAAAGTTTATTTTTATTTTTGGGACAGAGAGAGACAGAGCATGAACGGGGGAGGGGCAGAGAGAGACGGAGACACAGAATCGGAAGCAGGCTCCAGGCTCCGAGCCATCAGCCCAGAGCCCGACGTGGGGCTCGAACTCAACAGACCGCGAGATCGTGACCTGGCTGAAGTTGGACGCTTAACCGACTGCGCCACCCAGGCGCCCCATCACCTGGGCTATTTTAATAGCCTCCCACCTTATCTGCCCTGCCTCATCCTCACTCCCTATAGTCGATTCTCAATGGCAGCCAGAGTAATCAGTTTAGCGAGAGTTGAGTCATGTCACTCCTCTGCTCAAAACCAGCCAGTTGCTCCTCATTTTGCTCAAAGGAAAAGTCTAGGTTCTGACAAGGCCTTCAAGGCTCCACGAATTGACCCACCACTACATCTACCCTTGTCTTCTCCTCCTCCTCCTCCTCCTCCTCCTCTATCCTTAGTGTAGACATGCACGTTCTTCCCAGGAGCCACACTTGATCTCTTGCTGTTCCTGGAACACTCCAGGTATGTTCTCACCTCGAGACTTTTGCACTTGCTCCTTCCTGTGCCTAGAACATGCTTCCTCAAGATATCTGCATGATTCACATCATCACCTCCTTCATATCTTTGCCCAAACATCACATTCTTGTTGAGTCCCTCCTTGACCTTTACCCCTCAGTCACCATCTCTCTTATCTTGTTTATCGCCTTCCAACAAGCTATGTAATTTACTTAACTTTATAAGGACAGGGAGTTTTTGTCTGTTTCATTCACTGCTGTATCCCTAGTACCTAGAACAGCGCATGGCATAGTGTAGGTATCTAGCGAATACTTATTGAGTGAATGAATGCTCTACAGACCCATCTTTTTCCACAGGCTCTTCTCAAGGTTAAAATTCAGAGAGAGGTGGGTGGAAGCCTCTTTGGGCTCAGACCAAAGCTACATCGTGTCTGTCAACATAGTCCAGAAGACTGTGTATGCCAGTCACTGGCTGGAAATAAAGCTTCATATTTTCATCATCCTCCAAACTCTCAGTTTAATATGGAGAGGAGAATGAGCGGGAATATTTGGGAAGAGCATCCCCAAGTTTCCAACAAGGCCCAGTCACTAGCCTGTTTGACATTTGCCAATGGAAAAGATTTCTGGTGACATTAAGACTTCTCCGTTGTGTTGATAACGTTAATTCAGGTGTCTATTCCGCAACAGTGGGTGTGTGTTGGGGAGTTCTGCACTTAGAATTGCCAGGGTCTCTAGAACCATAAGCAGCTACTTCTTTATATGGAGAGTCTAGTGCTACAGCACTTTTAACAAAAGCTTTTTTTGTAGTTATGATTATGAGAGAGTATTTTGCCTAATTCCTTATGGAGGGTTTTTAAATGGGTGATTTGGATAGGATGATATACAGTTAGCAAGCTGGGAAAACTTGATGAAATGAATGGATGGCATGATAAGAAGGAAAATCTTGAAGGGAAAGAAAGAAGAGTTCTGAGGGATGCCCGAAGCCCTGAAAAATGAACACTAAGGAGGTAAAAGAAAGAGTGAGTCAACAGACCTTCTGCAGCCTAGCCTCATGGTAACTTTTGGGATAAGCAACTTTGATACTGCCGGTGAATGCCAGGCTAGGCATCACTGGCGGGTACTTTCCCTGCCCCAACCCCCACCCTCCAGGGTGTTGGATCCCCACCCTCCTGGGCTTGGGAGGCTGTGTTCCTGGAGCCACCATCAAAACATCAGTTCATGGAGTTGCTTTGGACTGTGGAGAGGTACAGGTAGAAAGATACTAAGAAGTTTTCAGATGTTTATTTAATCCTCTCAATGGTCTTCCTATGAAGGAAGCCTTATTATTCCCATTTTATAAATGAGGAAATGGTCACAGAGAAGGCGATAACTAGGCCATGAACACAAAATGGGGCTGTAAGTATCCGCGCTGGGCTTCTCCCCCCACCGTCTGGCTCCAGAGCTAATGATCGTAACCCTTGTGCTATACTCCTGCAGAGCTGAATAGCATGGCCTGACGCACAGTAAAAGCTCTCTGAGAATTAGTTGTTAACAACAGAATGAAGCCTCATCGTGCACAGAGTGGGACCCAAGGAGAAATCTCTAAAGCAGCAGAAGCCATGGCAATGACAGCAGAGGAGAGCAGCAGAGCCTTTCCAGAAAGCATGGGAGACCAAGGGCACACCAACGACAGTGAGGAGGGAGCAGAGCAACCCAGCTGAAAGGATCCCAAGGGAGGAGAAAGCAAAGTGAACATTGACCCATGCTCCGAGGCAGCAGAGTTTTAGATCAGGCAGAGCAATTCCCGGGGACGGAATCTGTGGGACGTGCCGTATGGAAGTGCATGGGCACTTCAAGGAGAACGTGGAGCACAGCCCCACAGGTATGGACCTGTCAAGAACGAGAAAACACGTCTGGGAAAGGACAGAGGCAGCCCAGGCAGGGAATAGTGGCCAGTTCCCTGCAGGGTGGAAGGGGGGCTGCTGTTCCAACAAACTGCTTGGATGGACATGGTCTATTTACTTATTTACTAAAAGTTTATTAATTCATTTTTGAGACAGAGACAGAGAGAGAGAGAGAGAGAGAGAGAGAGAGAATCTCAAGTAGGCTCCACACCATCAGCACAGAGCCCGATGAGGGGCTTGAACTCACAAATGGTGAGATCATGACCTGAGCCAAAACCAAGAGTCAGGAGCTTGACTGACTGAGTCCCCCAGGAGCCCTGACATAGTCTATTCCTAAGGGCAAAGTTGTCTAAGGCTCGATGTGCTTGTTTAAATTGTGCCGTTGAATTATTCGGAATGTCCTTTTATTTAGACATAATTACTTAATCTCATAGAACTTGAGAGATCACTGTATACTCTCCAAACCATACCCAGGGAGAGTTGAAGTGAAGCATTTTCCATTTTTAGGTAAAGATGAACACCCTGTATGTAAAATTCACACACAATGATTTACTAATTCCCCAAATTAACATTTCAAAGATACTAAACAGGTAGAGTTGACGGGGCACACAGGCTTGTGTCTAGGTGCCCATTTCAATCAGAGGCTGGTGCAAAGGCAAGGACACGCACCCTTAGGACGCTATCTGCCCCATAAACAACCTCCACCTGTTGGCTCCACTCGCGCCCTGCATAAAGCCAAGAGCAGGAGAAAGAGGAAGTACTCAGATGTCCTTCCCCATTTGCACGCTCACCTGTCGGGGGCAGTTTAGATTTTCAAATCTCTGAGGACAGGGGCTAAATTGTGCATGACTCCCTCTCCAGCTGGCAAGCGGGACGGTACATAGGGATCCTTCTACACTGCTTATTTAACTATGAGGATTCTGCCTTCCACCCCTCTGGTTCATAGGTTAGGAGTGGGGCCCAGGAACTTCTACTTTTATTATTTATTTATTTATTAAAAAAAATTTTTTTTTAACATTTATTTATTTTTGGGACAGAGAGAGACAGAGCATGAACAGGGGAGGGGCAGAGAGAGAGGGAGACACAGAATCGGAAGCAGGCTCCAAGCTCCAAGCCATCAGCCCAGAGCCCTGCGCGGGGCTTGAACTCACGAACCGCGAGATCGTGACCTGAGCTGAAGTTGGACGCTTAACCGACTGAGCCACCCAGGCGCCCCAGGAACTTCTACTTTTAACAAGCACTCTTTAAGCAGTTCTGAGTTAGACTTCTTCTGACAAGTGGGAGCCTTTAAATCTCCATTTTCAGTCACACATCACTTTGGAAACACATAGGACTTCGTACACGGAAGAGCAGAAAAGAAGTGGCTTCTTATTCTCAAGAACATAATCCGTTTACTTTCCGTTTACACCTTTGGTGGAGGAATTTATAAATGATATCCCGTGGGATCAATGTGGAAAAAAGAAAAGAGGCTTTTAGCATATATGTGCACGGCTAACTTTTGCATGTGTACAGAACAGCTTTCTCTCCGCTCCTGCCCTCCCCAGTGTAGGAAGAGAATTCTGCTTCCCTGGGCTAAAATAACAATTCGAGCTTTGCTCTAGCGGTACGCATCGCTGTGTTTTCCTGCAAGTGCCAAAGAATGACGTGGGCTAGACCCTGAGTTCCAGCTCTTTTTCTCTCTTTTCAAAATGGGAAAGATGATCCTGGTCCTGTCTCCTTGGTGGGATTGTGTAAGGTCCAAACGCAACCGTGTGGGAGAAAGGAGCAGTGAACGGGCGCGGCAGGAATTACTGTCAGAAGATGCTGGTGTATTTCCTTCTCAGGTGGGGCCCTTTCGCCTCCCGCTGGAAAACGCAGGTCTCTTGAAAGTTGGAATCTATTTTTCTCAAGGGAACTCGATGGTTTGAGAAGAATGCAGACTATCACAGAACCCGTGAGGCTGGTTTCTTAACGCAGGAGCCACATCCTTTCAGTGAGATGCGTGCAACTGTTTCAAACCCGTAGTCTCCATTCACTAGGAAGGCTTTCCAGGCGGAAACATTCGCCTTCCGTGGTCAGCTCCCTATCACGCTCTGGCCCGAAGCAGATTACCAAGGCGGGAGGTGGGCGTTGGTCCAGATTACTCAGGGTGGTGATTCTGAAGGTGCTCCTTTTCCGAGGCGGGCTGGGCCTTCCCCCCGCCGCACCTTTTCAGGTTAACATCCTATCTTTTCTCAAACTCTGTTTTTCTTTTATGTGTATTTTGTTGCATGTGGAAGAGCAATATGGGAGTAGAAAAAAAGGTTTTGGGCCAAATAAAGCAGTATGGTTGGAAATGTTTCCCTTGTGCAGATTTGGCATAAAAATAAACTTCTCTGGGAGAGGGCTGTTGGTGCTTGTTGTTCATTAATATGCTGAAATGATTTCGCACCCCCCCCCATTTTGAAGGTTCTTTGAGGCTGATTTTTATTCATTTTTTTCCCCCCGGGAAAAAGATAAAACGGGGGGGGGGAGGGAAGAGGTGTGAGGGGGCAGGATGTAGAACTTATGAGAAATACTACCATTTGTGTGGTTCTTTTAGTTACATAAGGCTAGGAGCTGGGGTGTCTATGCTGGGGGACTGGTATCTTCTTAGGAAAGAAGGGCTTTCTTTTCAAGTGCCATCAGCTACCCCTGAATTGTAGTTACCAGACAGATATACGCAGGATGGGCTCCCTTAGACATGGAGACGCAGACCCTGCCAGGCCCACACATCACTGGTGAAAAACAACACACACTGACATACACACACATAGTCCTGAGGGCACCGATAGGACTCCCCGTTCAGTCATGTCCTTTGTACCATTCTAGGTGGAGTGCACGTTTCCCATGCCACAGCTATGGAAAAGAAAAATGTATTATGTTTTCTGTTTGCTTTTATGAAGATCCGTTGGGTAAAACCAAAGCCCTTGATTGAGACGGCGTTCACTTAACCGGGATGGAAACTCCATAAGATCAGGGCCTGTGGCTGTCCTGGTCACGTGCAAGACCTAGTAAGTCGGCTTAGTGCCCGGCACAGAGGACGCGCTCAGGAAATGTGAGTTGACCCGTGACTGGTGTCAGGGGAGAGTTCTGTGGGTGCAGAGCCTGGAGGGTGGGTGGGTACCTGGCTGGGGGTCGGTGTAGTCCACAGTGTAGCCATCCAGCTGTAGAAGTTCTTGAGGCTCCGCTTTTTTCTCCCGATAACTGCACATAGCAAACGTGTATTGACTGACCTGGGAAGGAAAAGCAGATCGTCAGGTTGTTACCTCGGTCCCTGAAGAAACCCTCTCCCGTCAACCATGTCCTTGTCCCTGAGACCCTGTACTTCGTAGCTGGGTTCAGGTTGAGGTTTGCTACCCGCTGGCTGTGTGAGTTAGAGCAAGTTACTCAGACTCCCTGGTCCTTTGTTACCCCACGTGTAGACTGGGATATAATGTGAGGACCTACCTCCCCACTGGCTTATTGTGAGAGCTGAATGAGTTCACGTGTGGAATGGTCTTAGAATTTATTCCTGACACCAAGTGCTTGATAAAAGCTAGAAGTTATTATTGCTGTTTGTTATTTTAATGGGCTAAGCCACACGCAAATTGCCATTTCTGTAGCTCAAAACTGGTCAAATAGTGGAAATTTTATAGGTTTTACCTAATGTAACCTTGGCCCTGGCTGAGACTGCCCCGTTCGTACAGGCCTTTTGGTCAGCAGTTAGGGACCAGACGCTCGTTTGCTAATGCCCCAACTATTTCTTGTTACCATTTTATTTTTTGCAAGCCAATTCTCAGAGTCAAGCCACACATTTTTGTTTCCCCCCTCCCGTCTCCCACGGAAGGAGGGCTTCTGGTTGCTTTGCAAAGTCCTCCCTACATCTCAGACAAGCGCAGAAGTGACATGCTGTCACAAGCAATGAGCCCTTGATCACTAGGTGCCAGTCACAGTAGAGCCAGCCTCGGTCCCTGATGGCAGGGCCGCTGTCCCTGGGCAGCCCTCACCAGTGACACGGGCATCTATGCCAATGCCGGGCGAGGGCTCCACAGCTGCAGGCCGGCCTTCAGGACCCTGTCGCCATGGTGTGCGTAGACCTAGCACGGAAACTTAGCAATTCTGCATCGGGCTCATTTGCAAGGTGCCTGTGGGAGAGCAAGCACCCCTCAGGGTTTGGGCTAAAAGCTTGTGGGCCTATTTACCATCCACAATGTCAAACGTCTTGGAGAAGGAGTGCCACATCCCTTATCTCTTAGTTCCCTTTATTAAGAGAGACATTTTCTAAGTGAACTTTGATCCCTGCTGGGGACATTTTTAGCCTCCTCCATGGTGAGATCTGTCTTTTTTTTTTTTTAATGGCAATTAGAAATTGGTGCTCTCCAGCCCTGTACCCATCCATCACCCATCTCCCACATCCTCTGGGGCCTGAAGGTCCTAATGGCAGATAAAGGACTGTGACTGGTTTATCTACTGCTGCCCTCTGTTGGTTCCTAGTGAAAACTTTCTTCACAATGCATATATATGGTTTGCAGAACCTGTTCCTTATATGGCAAGGCCTTGAGGGACTTCAAGGAAAACAGAAGGCCAGATCACTAAGAGTATTTTCATAAGTGGACGTTCATTATTCTTTGCAATAAGCAGAATAACCAACAGCATCTCTTCTCCTAGGGCAAGCGTGGGGGTCACATTGGCCAAGGGGTCCATCCCAGCTCTGATAAGCTTCACCTACCTAAGTCTCAGCATCCTCGTCCGTATTTTACTTGCATCCTACTGTTGCTGGGGGGATTAACTGAGCAATAAAGATCTTTACATACTATGTGTGACAATCACATAACAAATGCTCAATCTATACATTTAAATAAGCAGCTTCCTTGCATTTACTGCTACCGTTCTAATATAGAGTAGTTGAGTAGGTATAATTGCCTCCTAGATTATAAATCCATTGAAGGTAAGCCTAGGGAGCCAAACGTCTTGGTTATATTTGCCTCCTTATAAACAAAGTCTACCATACAAAGGGCATTGGCCGATTGAGTCTGATTGGTTCTAAAAAGTCAAGTATGTATAATCTAATAAAGATATTCTGGGGGGGGGGTTCCAAATTTACATGTTACCCTAAGCACAGCACCAGACCTTTCCAACTCATTGCTTGTCTGAATAAATGATCTCCCGGGTCCCCAGCATGAGACTGACCATACATATTGCCAGAACGGTTCCACAGTGATTTTTACCTGTCTCTGGCAACACAAGAGATGATGTAGTTTGTTAACGTGATTAACAGCGTCGCAGATGCTAACTTGAGATCAGAAAAATATCACAACAGAAGGGCGTCACTTCAAGATTCATGCATTTACTATTGCTACACACCTTGGGTTTTTGATTTCCCTGTTCTATTTCAGGTGCCTGCTTCCTGGAGCGCTGTGCTCTGCTGCCCTCTTCTGGTAATACTGCAGAAGTTGTCCTGACAAACTTCGAGCTAATAGAAACTAGAATCGGTTTATTAGAAGAAGCATTTTAATTGGGAATCTGGTGACTTACTTTAGGAAGTAAAGGCAGGAAGAAGAAATTCCAATTTTTGCAAATGTGAGGGGGCACCTCAGTTTTTCTAGCGTGTTGGAAGGGTGGGGGAATAGCAAAAGGTTTGGGAATGTTTTGCTTTTTTTTTTTTTTTTAAGCTTCTACAAGACATCACTAAGTGAAAGGCATTGCCAATGAAATGAATGTTTCTCTGCCTCAGTAAAATTCTCTTTAAACTGAATTTTGATAAGAAGTTAATGAGATGGTGAGCACTCGTGTAATGATGGCACAGAAAGACCTAGAATGTCACAAGTCAGAGAGTTGGCCACCCCTGCCACAGCGGCTGGCCCAGAACAACAGAAAACAGAGACCCAATGATCGGAAATGACCCACAGACATCTGAAAGTGCCCTTTGGAGAGAAAGGCTACAGGACTGCAACGTTTACATCTTTGGAATATTCACCTGGTGCATACCTTCATATGGAATCGTGGGATCAGATGGGCTGTTGGGACTTCTGAGGGTACAGCCTTCAAGGTTTGTTTATAGGCGGCCGGACCTCCAATTTACACAGCCACCCTCAGCCTATTTTCAGGCACTATTTAAACTAGGAAATGGTTTATTAACAGCGTTTCTTAAAGAGTGGGCTGAGGCCACTTTCATTAGAGCATGCGTATGGGAGGGTGGGGTATCAGTTATAAATATGTATATTCTTTAAGACAGAACAACAGAATCTCAGGTCAGGCTGGGTCTCAGGGATTGATATTTTTCATAACTGCTCTAGATATTTCTTAAAGCACACTGAAGCTTGAGAACCATTGTTTTTTTTTGTTTT